ACACACACACACACACACACACACACACACACACACACACACACACACACACACACACACACACACACACACACACACACACACACACAGATATCCTCATCTCCACCTTCACATGCCTGTTCTGATAAACCACCAATCGAACTGGTCTGCAAAACTTTTGCAAAAATACTACTTAAAAAAAAAAAGCACAGTCTGATCTTGCATGTAAAGACATTCTGACATAGGCCAGTGTTGCCTAGCAACAAGGTCTCATGCATAATAGTTGAGGTGTACTGTCCGTAACTCTAGCATGGTTGTGCGAGTGAGATAAAGGGAAACAAAATAAAAATTCTGACTTTGTGAAGACAGCACGAGGTGTGCAGTGTTGGCGTGGTGAGCTGCATCAAAAAGCTTTAAATAAGAGACTGAAACAGTGTGCAAACTCCAGGTATCTGAACACAGAGTGGTTAAATCCAAGTTTGAGCTGGCATTTGCTGACCAGAAGTTTCTGTTCTTACAGCTCAGCTTCAGCACAGTAAACTTGAGGAATATCCTGACCTGACAGTACAGCAATTTTAGCAAGTAAGATGACAATTACCTCTGAGGTCGGTTTGCCCCAGAAGTGTTCACAGTTCAGGTTTTTACTCACTGTGAACTTTAGATGTAAAAGATAAGGCATACTGCTTCTGTAGCTACAGTTATGGGAAAAAGAAGGTTTCCATGGGACCCCCATGTTCACTGTTTAGTCCATTCCATGATTTAGTAGCTTGTAGAGCCACTTTTAGCAGCAGTAATGTGAATTCACTGTTTTCTGTATGTCTTTATCAGTCGCTCATATCATTGCAGAGGAATTCATTGAGGTTTGCAATAATTTTTTATGCACAGCTCTCTTAAGGTTGAACACCACAGCATTTCACTAAGGCTGAGGTCTGGATTTTGATTGGTTCATTACAACACCTTGATTATTTTCTTTTTCAGTCATTCTGCTATAGATTTGCTGCTGTGCCTTAGCTGTTAGGCTCACATTTGACTCTAGAATACTTTGGTATACAGAGGAGCTCGTGGTGACTCAAGGTGCTAAGGTCCCCTGGCTTTAAACAAGGCCTAATCATCATTCGTCCTCCACTGTGTTGGTATGTTATATTTGGGTTTCGCCATACATGGTGCTGTGCATTATGGCCAAACATTTCCACTTTAGTCTCATCTGTTCAAAGGACATTGTTTCCAAAGTCTTGTGGTTTGCTCAGATGCAGCTTTGCAAATTTAAGCTTTGCTGCCATTTCTTTCTTAGAGCAAGGAGGCTTTCTCCAATTCTTCCAAACAACCCATATTTATTCAGTCTTTTTCTAATTATACTGTTAAGCGCTTTAACATGCTAACTGAGTCTCAGATGTAGCTCTTGCATCTTTTGCAGTTTCTCTAAGAATTGCACAGTCTGATCATGGCCACCAAGTTTTGCACTTGTAAACAGTCTTTCTCGCTGTAGATTGATAGTCTTCAAATTTGGCCTTATAGCCAAACCCTTCCAAGATAGGCAGAAGCAATTGCTTTTCTAAGATCACAGATGATGTATTTTCACCTTGGAATTGTGTTAAACTTCTGCTTTTATAGCGGTGCTCACACTTGCACACATTACAGGGATGTATATATACTTTTTGCACATACGTTTAGTTCTGGAAAGAAAAACCAAACCAAGAATCCTTCAACCACATGAAATGTTGAGGATCAAACTTGTCCCCCATTCACAAAAACTGCACATGTGGAAAATCTGAAGAGTTACGGGTTTGCTGTACCTAGTTAGGCTTGCTAACCCTAGAATTACTGAGCCTTTTTATTCCTGGTGCAAGTCCCTACTACTAGATTTATTAAACCTGCATAAATTTGCGTAAATCCCCTGAACCTACCGGTAAGACCTCCTAGAATTACTGACTTTTTTATTTTCTGGTGGAAGTCCCGAGGTGTTAATCATCCCTGCTGAGAGTTTCACAGGTCATCAGCTTGATTCTCCTCCTGTTTTTGTTGTGCAAACCACCCATTATCTTTGAGGCCTGGAACATTTGCATTTGCTCTCTCAGAGTAGCTCAGATCCAAGGCAAGAGAAAAATCTGTGTTACAACCCTACAATGGAGCTGAAGGCCTCTAAGCAGGGTGCTAGGAGGTGTTAGGTTCAGGGAATTTACGCAAATTTGCGCAGGGTTAGTAAATGTAGTAGTACAGACTTACAGCAGGAAAAAAGGCTCAGTAATTCTAGTGCTAGCACCCCGCTGAGATTTTCACAGGCCTTCAGCTCTATTGTTCTCCTGCTTTTGTTGTGCAAAACACCCTCCCCCAACCAGGAGAGATTTGTGTATGTGTAGGAGTGGCATTGCTTGACTACAGCACAGTGCTGTGCATAAAAGCAGACCGGCCAGGAGGGAGAATCATTTCTTCTACGCATTTCTGAGAACACACATCAGGATGGCCTCCGTATCACTGCCCCGCAGGAAGAACCTCTCCGCGCAACAGGCTTGGGCCTTGCTTCAGGAAATGGACGAAGCAGATTCTGATGGAGGAGAGGTTTCATTTGTCCAGCAGGCCACTGATACCTCCTCAGAAGAATCTGAAAAGGAGACGGAACAAGAACCCAACATGCCTCCACGGAAGAGGCCCCGTGGTACTGGGAAGCCCTGTCTGAGCCACACGGCAAAAGACGGCAATTTGTGGGTAGAGGAGGACAATGGAATACCCAGTGCAGGAGCAAATCGCTCGTGCTTCACTGCACAAGCTGGACCCACAGAGTCTGCTAAGGTTTGTCACTGCCATAGTACATATGATATTTATATAAACCCATTTAGAGTGAGGTTCATGTAAATTTACCATTCTCTATTTGTTTATCTTCCGACAGCGTAAAATTACAAGTGTGCTCCAAAGCTTCCTTTGCCTGTTAGACGTGGGAATGCTGCACACCATCAGAGAGTGTACGGTACATCAAGCCCACAGAACAGAGCCGGACTGGAATTTGTCAGTTCATGAACTGATGGCATTCATTTCAATCCTGTTTGTAAGAGCAATCATGTGTCCCGTTGGTGCCATTGTGGATTGCTGGTCAGAAAGATTTCTGGTGCCAGTAATCAAAGAGACAATGCCCCGAGATAGATTCATTTCAATTATGCAACACCTTCGATTTGATGATAAGGACACGCGGGCAGAACGGGTGAAAACAGACAAATTTGCGGCGATCTCTGACATCTGGACACGCTTCAACGAGAACTGTGCTAAGAGTTTCACTCCAGGAGAACACATGACCATAGATGAACAGCTGTTCCCTACCAAGGTTCGTTGTCCATTCACACAGTATATCGCAACAAAGCCAGACAAATTTGGGATCAAGTTCTGGATGGCCACAGACTTGGACACCAAATATGTCTGCAGTGCATCTCCTTACTTGGGAAAGAACCCGAGTCGTCAGAAGGGAGAGAGGCTGGCAGAGAACGTGGTCATGAAACTGATGGAGCCGTTTTTGGATGATTGGAGAAACGTCACAACGGACAATTTCTTTACTTCACTGTCACTGTCGCACAGACTGCTGCAGCGCAGAACAACATTACTGGGCACGGTGAATAAAGTCCGGCGTGAACTTCCTCAACTTGCGCGGATGTATTCCATAAGAGCAGCAACACGCAGGTGGCCAGTAGCAGTTTTCTACAATATGCTGGACCTGGCGGCAGGGAATGCCTACATTTTGTACAAGGCATGTACAGGGTGGACAGGCAAAAGAAGATTGTTTCTGAGTCTTCTAGCTCAGGAACTTCGTTGCCGATTCATGCAGCACAAGGAAATATTAGCACAGGTTGCTGAAGCTGCTGCAGCTGCTGTGCCAGTGTCTGGAAAGACAACGCAGTGCCAGGTGCAAGAGAGCTGCAACAGGAATCGCAGCAGGTTTACCTGTGCAACATGTCAGAAATTCACCTGTGCCAAATGCAGGGATGATGAACACTGGGTCTGCAAACGCTGTAAAGTTTGAAACACTTTGAAATAAAACAGACTTGTGTACCCATATATTGTGAATGTGTGTCTTTTGTATCGATATGGCAGGAATTTCTGAAGGTTGTAACACAGAGGTTTGGCTTGGCTTGGATCTGAGCAACTCTGAGTGAGCAAATGCAAATGTGCCAGGCCTCAAAGATAATGGGTGGTTTGCACAACAAAAGCTGGAGGAGAAACGAGCTGACGATCTGTGAAACTCTCAGCAGGGGTGATTAACACCTCAGGACTTGCACCAGAAAATAAAAAAGCCAGTAATTCTAGTAGGTGTTGGGTTTAGGGAAGTTACGCAAATTTGCGCAGGTTTAGTAAATCTAGTGTTGCTAAGCTATAACTGGACAATCACTATACATCAGAGGTGTTTTAGAAATCAACTTGTTTTCAGTGTTTTTTTGTGATTTTTTTTTTTTTTTACAAATGTAATAACGAAAAAATATACAGACTGTAAGACATGAGATGGACTCGCATACTGAAGCTGATGTTTCTCCCTTCATTTACGTCTGGTAAATAAGCGCAAGAAGGGGAGGATTTGTGCTCAAGGGTCCCTCTGAGGCTGATCTTAACAAGGGGAGAGCAGATGGATTTCTTGGACACACGCATACACAGAGGAATTAAAATGGATTGACAACGTGAGCCTCAAGGGAACAATATGGACTTGGATGCAAAGTAAAATTATTTCAGATTTCAGTTTCTGCTGCAACTGAATTTCAGATTTCCACTTCACTTACTGCTCTGCTGGATCATTTCACAGGCCACACGTAAGAAACAGCATGGGCATGAATTTGAATTAGGACAGAGAACAAAAAAGCAGAATGCACATAATGCATGCACACACTGAGGAACGTGGATTTCTCTCTGGGCCCCCGGGGACTGGTCTTAGCCTCTTAATGATGTTAGAGCCAGAGAGCTGGATTTACTGTGGTGGGGAGGGCCGAGGAAGGACAGCCCACTACAACCAGACACACACACATACACACACTTCTGGTTATTCCACTTATCATTCTATCAATCATGCACATATTCGTGCACAAATTAGCATTCGGAGAGGAGCATGACACTGTACCACACTCCCAAAGGACGAGAGATTCCTGTTGGGGAACAGGTACGCACTCACCATGTGAGTAATGACACGGCAAGATGACAGGTGTAAATATGAAGCTAGACAATAGAGTCAGTACAATGAGTTTTCAGAGCAACTTTAAAGCAGTTTGAGTGTATCTGGGATTAGGGACATGATGGTGAGATTACAAAAGAACAAAATGTCACCAGCATCTGTCATCACACTGTTTAACTTTCTGTTCACTTTGTTTCTATTCCATCTACCAATGTGTGGATTTAAGGAAGTTAATCTATTACTAACTTATATAGTAAAGTTAATAAATCATTAACTCTGATTAAATAATCATCTGCTGTGCTTTAATCTTCTTTTATGTACCATGTGGTCAAACTTTTCGGCACAATCATGGGATTCATCTGAAGATTGAAACACATAGATCGATCCATTTGCTTGTGTGGTTATCGGAGTCATTCGCTAACATTGTATTTCTCTCACTTAATAACAGTGACTGTAACTGCTACCCACCCTTTTCTTCATTTCTGCCGCACTCTCGTTTCCCTGCTTCCTTGTAAAGATTTTTTTTCCTTTCCTTCCAGGTTGAAAGCTTTATTGGTTATTTTTGTTTTCTGAGCTCATTATTCTCAGGAAGGAAGTTGTGGGTCCTGCGGCGCATTGTGTGGAATTTCACCTTACACCTTTGTGTTTCTTTGTTGCCAGGCCTCCCCACCTTTAGTTTAAATATACTAACGTTAATTGGTAACTGAAACTCAGGTGTGGCATCCTCTGTGTATTTTGTGATCACTGAGATAAGCTGAGCCTTGATGATTTTTTTCCTTTTATATACCTTTATAGGTATATAATCCTTTTATATATATACCTTTTCAGCTACTCATTATCAACCAGTCACATTGGTGTGACACTGCTGTGACATTTAGCTAGGTCAAGACAACCTCCTGAAGTTTAGAATGGGAAGAAAGGTGATTTAAGTGACTTTGAACTTGGTATGGTTGTTGGTGTTGTTGGAGGGGCTGGTTTGAGAATTCAAACTTCTGGATCTGCTGGGATTTTCCCTCCCTCTAGAGCAGTGGTTCCCAAAGTGTGTGTGTTGGGGGGGGGGCTGATGGCAGGAGAGAGGGGCCAAACATCTGATAAGAATTTAGCAGTAACTGAGTAACTGAAACACCCACTTTTTACAACCAAGGATGCAGAAGAGCATCTCTGAATGCAGAACACATCCTGCCTTGAAGCAGATGGGCTATAAAACGAAACACCACAGACTACATTCCACACAGGCTCACCAAAACTGGAAAAAACAGACCGTAAAAATGATGCCTGGTCTGCTGCAGTTTTCAAGATGAAAAATTCTGCACCAACTGTGATGCTGTTATGTCAACATGGATCAAAGTCTCTGAGGAAGTTTTCCAGCACCTTGTTGAATCTGTGCCATGAAGATTTAAAGCAGCTCTGACAGTAGCGGTAGGAAAGTGTAGATATTAGAGTGGCTGATGAGAGTACGTCAATGTATTTTATCAGCCTCGAATATGAAAAAGAAGCTTATACATGTGACTGCAGTACTGTTCTAGAAAAAGGCAAATTTGTTGTGAGCTCATTCAGTCGATCAGGGCAGGATTTGCAGAAATTTTCAACCCTTTTTTATTATTACTGGCTCTTTGAGTTTAATGAGGAATAGATCCGTGTCACGCATTAATCTATACCGCATCAGAGTATCAGTTAAATACGATGAAAAAGTGAACTTGTTTTGAAATTATGTATTGATTTTTCCCTCCCTACTGTCTCTGCAGCCCTCCTCCCATCTGTCTGTCTGCCTGTCACTCTATCGCGTGCTCTTGTGAATGAAGCACTCACACACACACACGCACACAGCACAGCACAGCATGTTGCATGGTGTGGGCAGCTGACATTTCACTGCAAGCAATCTGCCAGTCAGAGTTGGATGTGCTCGCGTGATCGCACACTAATACACCAAATCATACACACACGAACATGCCAAATCTTCAGTGAATGAATGATGGAGTTTTTCGCCCAGTTTACTTGATCATACACATGTGTGTGCTTGATTCATGTTACGTAACGCTTCATTCCCTGCTCTGACTTTCTGCCATTTAGTTATCCATGTGTGCAATGAATCACCAGGCTGCTTCACTTTAATGTAGCGAGCACGTGCAAGGGGTTACGTAACAATCTACTGTAATCTCATGTAAACATATAAAAAAGGCCACCTCATTCATATATTAATAATAACCTGAGAAAAATAATGGCAAAAATAGAGACAGCTGACAACTAAATCAATTCAAGTAGAAAAATACTGACTTATGCGTCATCAGGTATGAATAAAGTATCAAATGTTAAGTACTAGTGCAGAAGGTTTATAGATGCACAGAGGAGGGTTTAGGGATCTGTTTATAGTGTATGATGAGATTTAAATTATGTAAAATGTAAGATTAAGGCATGTAAACATCATGCGAGATATTAAAAAGATTATTATAACTATTTTGTCTATTTATTTTATGTGATGTCTTTTGTTCTGTTCTCCAATTATTTTTGTGAATTTTATCCCTAGCGTTGAACAACTTTTTTGCTTTTTTTTTTTTCACAGTCAAACACCAAACACAGAGCTGCACTTATATAATACCGGACTAGCAGGGAATTCTGTTGTAGGCTATATGTAAAAACAGATTAACGTATACAGTTCTTTTGTTAGTATTCAGTGCAGCTAAATGCTGCATGAAAAAATAAACTGCTGTTTACTGAGCTATGCTGCACTTGTCAAAAATAATGAAGTCAGAGTTTAACATAAAATAAACACAAAGATAGAATGAAGCTTTTAATAGAAAGTAATTTGAATGGAGAAAGAGAGGAGAGTAGATGCAAATGTTACGTGTCTATTTTTGCACATGGTTAATGAAATGCATTCCAGTTTCATTAAAGACTGAAAGCATATTTCTATCTATAAATTGTTAATTGTTGAGTCTGTTTTGCAATGGCAATTTTTATTAAATGTAAACTCAATGTGCTTCACACTGAAGAAAAAAACATAAAAACCTGTGCAGGTTTATAAATACATTTCTGAATAAATAAAGCATCAGATTAGATTGCATGAAAATAAATGTTAAAATTTGTAAAAATATTCTTTTTAAGAAAATATTATTGTAATTTTAGAGAAAGAAAAAACAGCATTACAGTGCTAACATGGCTAAATTCAACAGCACAATAATTGCATAACAATGTCCCCTGATGAAGCACAACATCAGCAATCCAAACCAGAGATCACGTTACTGCATCTACCCAGCGAAACAACTGCTCTTTTAAAATGCTAACCGCTTAGCCCCTGCTATACGCCGCTTTCAAGTCACATTGCAAATACTCAGAGGGAGTACGCATGAATGAGCTTAAACTAGAGCACGAACTAATCCTGTATACTTATCATTACTGTAAAACTTAAAAGAAGGATTTTGTGCCTGTCATTATTTAATCTACTTCTTTTGGAACTGTGGGCTTAAGATATTTAATGTAGCTTAGCAAAGGTTCAATCAGGAAGAGTACTTCATTCAGCCTCCCTTATGACTTCATTCATCACTGTGTCACAGCCACACCTCTCTCTCCATTCATAGTTTCAAATGTAAGAAAACATTTTCAGGTTTATTTCATCGAATCAAACAAAGGGAAAGTCAGTTTAAAGTAAACCATGACAGGCAATAATTATTCTGCCTTTGCATTTAGATCTAAGGTTTCTCTGAGAACATGAAGTACATTAAACTCCCTGAATGACTCGTGCAGTGGAGATAAGTATGCAGGAGGCTCATCACCAACAGCTGCTGTTTATAATTTTTAAGAGGGGGTGAGATCAGAGGACAAGATGTCCTCACACATGCTATAATTAGCTTTGTGGGTGTGTTTCTTCCTCGCAGTGACAAAATTTAGGT